TCTGTGTTCCCTGCACATTTCTACACATCGATCGAGCCGGCTTACGCACGCGCATCCCGTTTCTATAGTTATGAAAGAAAAGATACTTTTTTAATGTTACCGACCACCTTGGTGATAACCTTCCTTAATAGATTCCGATCGACACGCAAAACGAACGAGTTTCGCATTAATAATATCCCTCGCCCTCTCCTAATCTTGTCGACAGGATAAGTTCTTAATCTTTCTGAATTAATATCAAGTTCGTGCTGCCGTAAAAGAATAATGCGAAGGCGATGAAAATCAACATTTGCTTCTAAAAAGAAAGAGAATCAATAAAGGTAGAACGTGTACACCTGAATTATTTAAAGAGCTTTAAAGATTTATACATCGAACTTGAACTTCAATTGCTTCTTGGTTGTGGTTTAAGAATAATTGAAAAGATCCATCTGTCAGGGTATTTCATGCCATTACCCAAGAATCAAAACATGTTTTCTTCCCGGATACTTGTAAACGATTTTTTATTAGAGAACCGAACAATGTTTCCTATGTTCTGTGTTTTTGGTGGTAAAAGCAGAGAGCGTTTAGCGACACTAAAAACGCATCTAGGAAGCTGCTACTTAAATACACATACGTATTTTCTTTGGATACACGTACAAAGTACACTATGCTATCGATTCTTCCTATACGAGACCAGGACTAAAGTTACTACGAAAGCTTTCCTTTGTCCTCGATCTGCTCTTGATACGCGTCATGATTCAATGGAGCTTTCCTTTTCTGAATCCTATGGAAAAGTAAGTCGTCGAGTCTGAGATAGACTTCTGGACTTTCTTTTCAAGGAAAATATTAAAACTTTTATTGCCATTCTAGAGGAAATTAATCCTTCTCTATGACCTTGTCGAGTAGAAATTTTCGCCTTGTTATGCAACAATTATGTCACCTCGATGATATACAACTTGAACTTGATTATCATGAATTAAACATCGAATGTAGAACTACCGATGATTGAACACACGCGATAATTCGTTTGAGTGTCGTTTAAAATATAATGGAAAAGAAAGATATATATGGTTCCATTTAGAGAACTCAAAGTGACCCTGGTTTCGCTATGAAAAACAAACTATTTTCAAATTTTTATTATCGCTATCTTTTTATTACACTTGGTATCGATAAATTTTTGTTACGACAAAACCTATTTTCAATGACTTATTGTCAGTATAAAAATTACATTCTACGCGATTGTGTTTCCGGTCCAATGTCCATGAAACGGAAATACAAAGTGTTAAAGTGTTAAAAACATATGGAAGCTATAAATTTTTACCATTCTTAAAATATACGGCTGTTGGCGTTTTTATTATCAGAAAGCTGTTTAATAGTTTTCCATAATTAAGGTTTTGCTGCAAGGTATTATGGGTTTGATATCTGATAGAGTAACATAAACATCTAGAAGGCCCGAAGAAAGCTATTAATCATGTTGGTCACGTTCGTGACGTGAATCGCGTGTACATGACGTTATTGTGAAAGTAATTCCACTGACCATTGCCAAATTCGACCCATTTGCCTGCACGGAAAAGGAATATTTCGAAATTTGATTATTATCCCATATGATCCGGCTTTCGAGCATGCTCGTTTGAAAATATTTAAGCCTCGAGCATTTTCATTCAATTTCCTTCAAGAAAAAAAAACAAGAAACACTTGATAACAGGTAGTATCACCGTAACTCTGAAATAATTAGGAAATTTTGTTTGGCAAGAAGTAAGAATTATCTTAAAAGCAACAAAGTGAAAGTCTGCGTAGTGATTAACGAACTAGTGATCACGTAGTATAGTACGTGAACTAGCGAATGAAATCGTTGATGAATAAGGGAAATTTTTGTAGATTATTATCAAACTTAAAATTAACTTTCCTATAGAAATTGAAGCTGCGCCCATCTGTGTTAAAAGGGTTTTCAGGAAAAAATAATTTGCAAGAAAAGTCGCGATTCAGAGTGACGGAGAATCATTGAAAAGGCACGTGTGCTCGCGATGAACTCGTTTTCGAGCGCAGCCTGAGCGTGGCCTAAGAAAAGTGATGTATCCGGTACAGATGTGACACGAATATTTCCGGATTGCCGGCTCGATCGGCTTAAGTCTGCTCGAGATTCTTTCACGACGCTCGAATTGATTTCGCCAAGACGTGATTCTTTGTTTTTTCCTTTATGGGCGCCTTTCATCGAGATGACAGTCCGAACGTGTCACGCCTGTATACGTTTCCCTGGATTTTTCAACTTTTCACCCGATCTCCAGGAATCTGGATAGTTCATCCTGACCCATATCGCGACTCGTCACTCGGATGGAATCTGGCACGGAATGCTTGATTTTCAGAAAATTTTCTTCCACGCGATTCTTCATTCATTATCACGGAGGTCATCGGTAACTGATACTAGGAATTTTCTCAAAAATGCAAATTTAAGTAACTTAAAATACAAAATCCGAATTCGTATCTTGTGATATCAATGGAAAGAGTTTCTACGAAATTTCGTGGGTTATCAAATGATAAAATATACTTTAGGTAGACTTTCATATCTGTGATTATACGAAATTAAATCGCGTTAAGACGACTTAAATTTTTTTGTCTGATACAAAAAGTATTAGAAATTTCTATCATACTTCAATATAAATGTTATCAGCACACTATTAGCAGGTATACGATAACGAGACGTGCTCTAATTGAAATCGAAATGACTTCTAAAGCATCCTACGATCAACTTCGTAATTACGAGCGACAGTAAGCTTTAAGGAAACTTATCGAGCCTGACAATGATGTTTTAGCGTAATTACGCGCCACGCGAGCAGGATAACTACCATAGGTCGTTAGAACATCGATAAACTTTTTCCCCTTAACACTTTACATCTTGATTCTATACGTATAACGAATTAATTAATCTACGCTAATTGATAATATCGATTTCCTTACCACGGATTTGTACTAAACGGATGATATAGAATAGAGAGGATGAGTCGTCAGTTTGAAGCGTAAAGAATGAAATTTATCGGGGGAATAACGGCCAAGGAAGCGCGAAAAACGTAAGTAGCATAACATAAATTTTTCTCGAAGGAAATCCAGTTTCTGGCAATCGTTCCGCGATCAACAGTTGCTCCATTTATTACATAAAGACAGCTCTACATCTGCCCTTTCAGCGACCGATATCTCGCCGCGTTAGGGGCCGATTAATTTTCCGCTCGCCGAAAAATAAATCAGGACCGTTTTAAAAGCGCAGCGGCAAGTTGCGTTGCTGCACGCCGCAACATCGAAAATATTTATAGAAAACCGTGCTCGCTCTCGGCTGGAAAGGAACAGAAATCGCGGCCGAAACTTTTCATTCATCCTTTAACGTCGACACCACCGCTAAAAGCTTATTCTTTTAATTAGTTCCATTCATCAATTTCTAATATCATTTCTAATTATATTTTCCATATAACTGAGACATTTCCTATTGCAAAGTTTAATTTGAAAAAATTTAACCCGTTAAATAATGAGGAAAGAAATCACGAGGATACTGTTTCTTGGTCGATCTACCAACCGCTGTGAAAAGCGATAACAGCTAATAATTTCCAGCGATTCCAATTTCCAGTCTACTAAGCAGTCCGCGATTAATCAGCCGATTCACCGGAGCCGAAGATAAATTACTCCTCTTTTCAAGTGTCCTCCTCCTCTCGGCTTTCACGCGATCTTACTCCTTTTTTCAAATCGACCTTCTCTCAGAAAACTCGACCAGAACGAAAGCTCTTTGAGAGACGTTGAAAGGTATCCGTGTCTCTACTCGATCATCAGGATATTTTGAAGATTCAAGAAGAAGAAATCAGTACGCGAACGGCTACATAAATTTCTCGTTGTTTCCTTGATCCTAAACGGTACTCTATAAAATATCGACTGTCTTCTAGTGAAGAAGGATCAACCTCTAGCTATGTAGGTCGCGACGTCACTGTACTTGTACGGGATTATGCTTTTGCCTTTAGAAGATCTTCCTTCTACGCGTAAAGGCTCGTTCCTTTATTCTTGGAAACGTTCGTCATCGAGCGTAATTTCTTACGTATCCTATTTAACCCTTTTACGGATTACGGGGGTGTAGTGATTCTATGCTAAGCATTTTTCAACACCGCTTAACTTAATTTTCCTTTTTGTAGTTATATTTCGCGGCACAATTTTAGCCCCAACCACGTTTCCGGAAGGACAATTGTTATAAAAATATTATTATTATTATTATTTATTATTATTTTTTTAAACATATAAATTTCTAAGTAGAGCTAAGGAAAAATAACTATAATAACGATAAAAGAAACAAAACGGAAATAGACTCGAGTAGTAGTATGCACCGTAGCAAGTCAGACGAGGACAGGCGGGACTCTGCCTCACTCTGCGAGAAAACTACGGTTAAGTTGTTTCGAAGAATACTTTCGGATGGAATTCAGGCCAGGAAAAAGCTTGAATCGCGTGTCGTTCGTTTTTTCTTGCCGTTTTCAAGCTGCCCGAAAGATTTCGCACGATCAACATGGTTATACCTTTTGCTCTTCGACCGTGGAATCTCTTTCATCTCGCTTTCGTTTCGTATATACATATATATGATAGAACTTTGTAACATATAGATATGTATGCAATACTCTTTAGAATAAAATTTAAATACTAACTTATTAATGCTAATTCATGAATAAAATTCCTTGTTTTGAAATCTGATACTAAGTAAGCGAGAGGAGCGCATAACCTATATAAAAGAAATATTAATGGCGGTTAAATTTCAAATTTGAAAATATTCGCGGTTGCAATTCTTTCTGAATATTGTTCAGTTTTTAAAACGTTCTAAATCGATTCGAGTATCGTTCGATACAAAACTTAAAAGACAATAAGATAAAAAAAAAAAATGAAGAAAAGTAACACGATCTTGCGTGCATCATTAATCTCTGATGCACCTGAAGTGAAGCGAAAATCCGTCGCAATAAGACGCCCGTGAGAACACATGCGTACATATATCGTGAACGTGTACTCACAGTCTTGTAAGGTTGACACTGGATGGGAGTACGGTGACATCCAGGATGGACAGGAAGCCAGCACCGCGACAGGTGACCTCTCGTCCATCGGCAGTGACGTTACAGGTTTCCAGGACGACCGGTCCGTTCAAGGATCCCGGCTGCTCCTCGGCGGAACAAATCCGGCAAAGGAACATTGTCAGAATGACAGCAGCAGCGGTGCCGCGACAGGGCTGCGTGCACATGCCGGCCACCTTGGTAGCTTTTCTTCCTTCCTTCCTTCAGCCGGAGTCGCCGCGCCCAGGACACGTTTTACCTTCACCGCATTATATTTATCAATCGCACTTCGAGACGCGTGTTCCCTCGACGAGCGAGAAGACGTGTGTACACAACACGGCATAGAAAGAACGCGGTGTGTTAGAGCTTACAAAGCTCGCGAATCAGGCAACGCGCGCGCACTTGCCCCCCTTCGACTCGTTCCGACCGACAGATCGACGCGCTACGAGCTACGGTTACCGACTGACGCTGCTCGCCTACGTGCGTAGCTACGCTACTTCGCACCCCTTCCCCCACCACTCGCGCAATTACCGCCTCGAGCCAATCAACTTTCTCCGCGGAACGCTACCGATACCATCTGTAATAGACTCTCGCGATGATCGGCACTTCGCGACCGTGTTCTCCCGTATACAGGGTGTTTTTTAACTCTTCTAACATCGGGAAATGGGGGTTCCTGGGGTGATGTACCAAAAAATGTTCTGTGGAACGTTCCGACAAAGTAACCATGACCTAAAAATGAACTAAATATTTGTTAAGGAAAATTAATTAACAACAAATATTTATTTAGTAAATATGCGAAATAATAAACTTTGTCTTTTCAATTTAGCAACTTGGGTGTCGATGTCCTGCCGTTTGAATTTCGTATAAATAAGATACCGCGCCATCTCTAGGCTATGCACTAAAACATTTAAAAATAGCAATCGGTAACCTTACATTTCCGAGGACACTGTCGTTATTATAAAATGTATCGGATATTTTTCAATCCAAAAATAATTAAAAATTAAAAAAATTAATATGATTAGCATATACGAATTGTTCAGTTAAGGAATATATTCATATTTATTTTCATGATTATATGCTCGCGTCCGTGTTAAACTGTAAGTAAGGAAATTGGAACAGCTATGTGATTCATCTACAAATGATCATTATACAAAATATGCAGCCAGTTGGGCCATCTTATCTTTTGGAGGACGTGGTTTACCCCGACTGCGACCTTTAGCATGGCCACGACCACGAGTCGTAACCGGTTTCGAAGCGACGGCACGATGCTTCTCTACGAGAGGCATAAAAGCTGGTGTGCAAAAAACGCAGCCAGTCATTTCCGTGGCTTCGTTAGGAAGTTTACTTTTTTCCTACAATTGAGAAAAAATTACAGTTTTAATACTTAAAAAATATTCATATTAGTGTACTTGTATGTCAATTAATGGAATCATCTAAATACGAATAATTTTTCCTTTTAATGTGACACCTAAGATTCATTACTTTACCTGTTTATATTCTACAGTTACTAATTGAGCTCCACAGTCACAGACATCGGTATCAACCGTTACCTTGTGAGCATTTTCGAATAAATGAATAATAACGTCACAACGATTGCATCCAAGTTTCCATTTCGGTGCAGCCGAAGGATCCAGTACAAGTATACCCGTGTCACATTCCAGACAACTGGATATACCATTGGAATTCATACCGTGCGGGCACGTAGGATGTGTGCACGAATTACAACCGCTTGTCCCTTTCTTCATATCCCTGATATTTACCAATGCATCCATGAATTGTAATTTTAATTTAATATTGTCTTTAGAAGGTTCGAATATGAAAAAAATTACCTAAATGGCGGATTGTTGTAACAATATGGACAAAACGTGTAGCTTTTACCTCGTGCCCCGGTAGACCACGAAAGCAATTCAAAATCGTCCAATGGACATTTAAGTTCTTTGTAAATTCGAATGTTACCATTTTGCGGAAGGTTATACGTTTCATTGCAATGAGCGCAATGCATCCTCGACGGTTTTGTTTGGATATATTTCATATATCGCCGACATTTCCCGCATCTAAATGTTGAACAGTATTAGAAAAAAATAGAAGATAAAATATCTAACTGTGTACTGTAAGTACTTTATTACCTGGAATGCGCTTTTCCTGACGCAGAAAGAGGAGAAAAGGAAACTTCAAACAATTGATCCATTGCTTCTATACTCTTTACAAAATAATGAAATTTTTGTTTGAAAATTTCCACGGTATGCTGCAACACTGCGTGAAAATCTGCTCGACCCTGAGCTATTAGATTCAACTGTTCCTCTACTGCAGACCTCATTGTAGGTAAAACTAACTCGGGATCTATCTAATGTCGAATAAAAAATTAATACATGAATTTTATACTTGTAAGATGAATATATACCTTTTGATATCCATGAACCAACACAATTCCTAGTGATGTAGGAACTAATTTCCTACCAGCTGCAACATTTACATAGTTTCGCGTACATATATTATTTATATGTACTGGAATAGAGGCATCCGTTCCAATCCCGTGCTTTTCCATAAGAGATATCAATTCAGCTTCGGTTAAATAATCCGGAGGTTGCGTATAGCATTCCAATAACTTTGTCTGTAGTATTAGTGAAAAAATAAATTATTATAAATCAATTAATCCATACGACCAATACGAATTTTATGTTTACAACCTCTTGTATATTAACTTTCTCGTTGACTGTAAATTTCGGTAACGTATCGTTACTTCCAAGTGCTTGCCAGGTAAGTATACTGGTATAACCAGGATCTATTAAACTATGACCATTTGCGGTAAAAATTTCCATTCCTATTTCAAATTTAACTGTTGTACTTAAGTACCTACAGTCAGGAGCCAACTGTAAAGTATAAAATATATAAATTTTTCAACGTCAAAGAATCTTTTAATACATTAAAACAGCTGTATTTACTGTAGCGATAAAATGTCGAGTTATATAATCGTATAATCTCCACGAGTCTCCATCGAGCTCACTGCGCGTAGCGTGTTTCATGGGTGTAATAGGAGGATGATCTCCAACATCATGTCCTTTCTTTGGTCTATTGATACCAGTCATCAGTATTTTACGAACTTGATCTCCCCAATCAGGATTGTTTTGCTGTTGTTTCAACGCCGCGCTGAATTCCAGATATTACTGCATTTATTTCAGGCGAAATAAAAATGTGAGGGCAATTAACATTTTATTCATCTTACGGTAAATCGAAATTCTCCGGGTATAATGTTGTCTCAGTTCGAGGATAACTTATGTAACCCTGTGTATAAAGACGTTCTGCAATTTGCATAGCATGATGCGGACCCATTCCTAAACCTGAACTAGCTACTCTCATCAATTCCACTGTGTTTAAAGCTATAGGTCGTGATTTCGTTTTTTCTGTACTTTCTATACTTATAACGCTATATTATCAAAGATAATAAATATTATTTTATGCATTGCTGTTTCATTAATTACAAGTATTGCTAGCACTTACGTTGCTTGTTCATATTCTTTAACATGACTTAAGAACATATTTGCTATTTCCTTATCAAACGACCGTACACGACTCCAACTTAGGATAATATCTTGTCCATCAAAAGATTTAACTGTAACCTTGAAGATATCTTTTTTTTTTCATACTCAATCATTGAAGTATTGTATTTTGCCATTTAAATGATAAAACACTATACCTGCAGAACCCAGTATGGATCTGGCTTGAAAGTTTGAATTTCATCATGCCTCTGCACACAAAACCCTAGTGTTGGTGTTTGGCATGGACCATAAGAAATAAGAGATGCATCTAAATCTCCATACTTCCCCTAAAAAAAAAAAGGAAAAAATAGAAGATGAAAGTAAAGTACAGCAAACATAAGAAGTCATTGGTTTATAACTTTTCTACCTGAAAGAATTTAGTTTGAAACCTAGTAAAAGCACAACCAATTCTTAAATCTAGTTCTTGTCTAGCATCAACACTTTTTGCTTCATTTTCATTAGGTTTTATCAAGTTTGCTAATGCAGCCTTTATATCTTTCTCTGTAATAGCAGAGAATCTTGCCCTCCAAATATCCTGTGATAAATATAAAATTTATAGGATTATTCAGGAAAATAATAATGTTACAGAATACCTACATTTGGGTTTAATCTCCTGTTCATGCCTTGCTGTACCGCATATATAACTTCAAAGCAGATATTTTCACCTTCTTTGTCACAATCTAACCATAATACTAAATAATCGCAATGGGCTCCTTCTTTAGCCAAAAAATAAGGGATTTTCAATTTAGGAACTGCTTCTTTCTTTTCAGTTGGACAGGAAAATAACTCTGCCTTAAACACAACAATAAATAAGATGAAAACATATATAAAGAATACATTAATATTTTATATAATTATACATCTTTTTCTTACAGGATCAACTTTATCCCAGTTGTTATATTTTCCAATGAAATCTAATGTCATGACATGACCACAGACAGAGGTCATCTTAAAGTTTACAGTTTCAGATCTGAATTGACCTACCCATTCGTGCACTGAACAAGATCCATTTAAACCTGAAATTTATTTTTTATTAGCGATTATAGTGTAAAATATAAATAATTTTGTAACTCAGAATAAATCATTTATAATGCATCACTATATTGAGAAGTGTAAGTTATGAATTATGAATAAAATGAAATCTCACAAAAACTTAACCTACCTTTTCTGGTCGTGCATCGACCATTACTTAAAATATTAGCTAGCGAAGCTCCCAGAGATGGCTTTTCAGCTACCATCAAAGCTGTCTTCATTTTTGCTAAATTTTTCTTATAACAGATTTATCTTTACAAAGAAATCTCAAATTTTGCCATAAGAAGACTAACGAAACACGCAAAGACACTTATTGTGGGAGATCGCAAGCATCACGTGTAATACATTTCAAGATTATTGAATTTTCTTTCGAACTTATTACCAATTTTATCTTTTAATTCTCTTATTTCTGAAATACATGTCTCTTTCTGAATATTAATTGAAATGCAAGGATGAAATCAACCACCTATTTTTTGACATGATGTAAACCATTGACTGCACATTCAACAGGACTGAACATGCTTTTATTCCCGAGAAGTAATAATTTTAGGAATTCTAGACAGTCAGGTGAGGTTCGATCTACATGTACAGAGCCAAAAATATTATCAAATTTATAAAAATTATCAAAATAATTGATTGATAAACTTGTACTTTAAAAAGACCGCTATAAATCAAATATTTTTAAATTCGATCCTTGCGCCGTCTATGCAAAATGGTGATCTTTTTAAAGTACAAGTTTGCCAATGAATTATTTTAATAATTTTTATAACTTTAATAATTTTTTTGTTCTGTATATGCAGATCGAACCTCACCTGAGGGTGTCTGAAAACCCTAAAACCTGTCCCCTTCTTTTACATCTGTCATCACTGTCTTTAGTTAACCACAATAAATTGCATTCCGATACAGATTGTTTGCACATTTCTTTGTAATTTGATAGTTTATAAAGAGACAAATGATCAGACCCTTGCATACAATATTCTATGATATATTTTTAATTCTGATAACATTCGAAATGTCAAAATCAAGTGGAATATATAGCTATATGTAACAGTAGTTTCAATCATTTTGGCGTTGTGACTCATACATGCTTATATATACAGTCTGTCAGTTCCGAATAATCGGATCGTATTCTTGAAGCTAACATTTTAACCTAACAAAAGTTAATTCTAAAATACAAAAGCGTACTGTCACAACATTTTTAGGTTTAGCTTTTGATATATAGCATTATAATAGTTCAGGTAACTTTTACAGTGTCAAATTTATGCTATTCTTACTATATCAAAATAAACATCAGTACCTATCTTTTACTTGTAATCGTTCCTTTCAGGATCATTTGATAAAAATAGTTAGCAATGCTTCCAAATTAATTCACATTAACTTTCATGAGAATTTATATACTCCTGTTGATTTCAGTAAATAGGGTTGTCATATTCTCTTTGCAACCATGGAATGGCTATTTGGAAAACGGATTACTCCTGAGGAAATGCTGAGGAAAAATCAGAGAGCTTTAAATAAAGCTATGCGGGACCTTGATAGAGAAAGAATGAGAATGGAACAACAGGAGAAAAAGATTATTGCAGATATAAAAAAGCTAGCCAAGGATGGGCAAATGGTAACCTAAGATTATCTTGTAAAATTTCTTTGTGTTGACAAATACTCATTGTTAATGATTTAATAGGATGCTGTGAAAATTATGGCTAAAGATCTTGTAAGAACTAGACGTTATGTAAAGAAATTCATGTTAATGAAAGCAAATATTCAGGCAGTTGCTTTGAAAATCCAAACATTACGTTCACAAAATACAATGGCTCAAGCAATGAAAGGAGTAACAAGAGCTATGCAGAATATGAACAAGTAAGAACACTTATTTCTTTAAAATTAGGATCCAGAAATCCTTTGTATCTAAAAATTATCCATTTTAACAGGCAATTAAATCTTCCTCAAATACAAAAAATACTGCAAGAATTTGAAAAGCAGTCAGAAATAATGGATATGAAAGAAGAAATTATGAATGATGCCATAGATGATGCAATGGAAGATGAGGGTGATGAAGAGGAAAGGTAGTTGGCTAGCTACTGGATTAAAATATTTTTTTTTTTAAGTAATCTTACCACTATTCAACACTTGTACCATGTTTATTTTATTTTCTCAGTGATGCTGTCGTGTCACAAGTCCTGGATGAGTTAGGTTTGCAACTGACAGACCAACTATCTGGTTTACCTCAAGCATCTGGTTCACTCAGTGTAGCAGGTTCAAAACAACCAGTTGCAGCTGCTGCAGGAAGCGATGAAGGTGGAAATCTTACAGATGCAGATGCTGACCTACAAGCTAGACTTGAAAATTTACGGCGGGAATAAATATATTTAACATTTTAGAGCTGATATGTATAAAGATAAAAAAAAAAAATTCATTTTATAAAAATAGTTAAGTTTATACGCTCTATAGTTATAGCTCGAGATACGAATGTTTTATTACAGCGCTTGTTCACCAATTCATCTGAAACATGAAAAAATGTTGCTTTTATGATTGCATAAAATGATTCCTCGTAAAATCATAAAATATTATATACAAAGGGGAAGAACTGTAATTACCGGAATTGCTTATTAAGCAGTTGTTACATTTTCTATAAAAATCAAATAACATTATAATAACGTAAAAGGTTCGATGTTTTTTGAGGTTTCTGTGCATATTTTTTTGCACAAGGCAATTTGTAAAATCAACTTACATTTAAAATACCTGTTAAGTATACTGTAATAAATACTTAATTAACGTATTTTGATAAATATATGTACATAGTTTTATTTGAGAACTAATAGTTTACATATATGTACATATATGCTTTTATTTTTTTTAGCAGATATTGTACATTTACTGTAAAAGTATATAAAAACAGTTTAATAATTTTTGTAAAAAAATAATCGGATGATATAATATTTTGTGCATGAAAATACAATACAATTAACTTTTCTCATTGCACTTATTGAAACTGAATGTTTCAGTGTTAAAAATAATGCTAAGTATACAATGTTAAAAAATTATATGCAGCTATATAATTCAGGCACAATTAATAAATTAATTATACACTAATAAGGTTACTGATTATCATGCAATAAAACTGGTAACAATTCAATAATCCCAAATAAAAAATATGCACATACATAACAATAAAGAATATTCCGCAGTTCACCAGAGTCCATAACTGTGAAAAGACCAGTTTTCGTTCTTTGCGCTTCTCCAGTGCGCATCTTCGCCCTGATTGGCGATACTCCCAAACGAAGTGGAAAGCGATTAGCAGAGAGCTCGCTGCGTTCCCCCACCATCTTCCAACCTGCGCAGTTATGGACTCTGGTGAACTGCGATATAAACTAAAACAATATAACTGAATAAAACATAATAATATAAAAATTTAACTAAATGTGTTTCTTAATATCTTGATAAAAAAGAATTTTCAGTTGTACAGGGTATAATAGTCAATAATTATGTGAGAAGTATGAAATATTATCTCTATTAAATGAAATGTACATATACATAATAATACGCAATGGATCATCATCCTAATATCCTGTTCGTGAAATACAGGTATAAAATAGAAATCTGGTCTGGTTTCGAACGTAGCCTAGTAGATGTTGAAAATGAATACGAACAATTAATTAATCGATTGAGTGCACTGAATCATTAATTCGGTATCATGGAAAGTTTCAATAAACATACGTATGTAGTGTATTACTGAACCGCAAGTACGGTATTATCAAGAGAAAAGGAAACACAAAGAAAGGGAAAAAACTTTTATACGATATTACTAAAGGAAAGAGGAAAATGTCTAGGGCACGCGAATTTGTTTTTAGATTATTTAAAATTTGATAATTCAGTATTCGGTAATCAGTAACCGGTATTCCTCTTTAAAGAATTGCGAGTATATAATTTTATTATCGCGTGCTCTTTTCGCGCCTTCCTCTGTTCCCGTAATGGTAAACCCTATAGAAATACGATGTAGTTTACAAAAACTGTGATGGAACCTTCTGTCAATCACATGTATATATATTGTCAATATCTTTTTTAAATATTTTAGAGGTACAGCTCAAACATAACGTACCCCAAGCTAGAATCAAACACCGAAGAAATCTCTTGTAGCGCCCCCGTTGTGTTCTCTTTAGACTTAAACGCTTTTGAAAATTTGCGTCCATTTTAAATACTTCGCTAGTCACGTGAAGTATTAATAATATACTAAATTAGTGATTGTTAATAACAGATAATAGTAGTAAATACTAGATAAATCAAAATATTTGCAATTATTTAATATTGGAGATCAATCTGTTTCGCTTATAGTTGAATTGAACAAGTTCAAATGTTTACCAACTTTTGGCGGGAAATTATTTCAAGCAACGTACATTTGAACATGCGCAACATTGAAATCGAAGGATTTTAATTCAGCTACAATTAAGTATTCTCGTTTTCGTTCATTTGAATATTGTTTACATAATAAGGTTATTACCCTGATATTCGTGTAGTCAAAACGAAAATTAACAGTCGATGAAACAGAATGGATATTTTAATTCATTTCGAGTACGTCTACAACTGTGCTTCTTCGATGATAAGCAATCATCGATCTTTCGTAAATAGCACCATTTCTATAGCAATCATTCTCTCGAAATACAATTTCATATGCATATTTATTAAGAATCGGTCTGGAAATTTTCAAACGCAGCACACCGACAAGAAACAAATTTTTTTTTTTATTCTGACCTCAGATCTTTATCATAGTGTACTACATAAACTAAATAAGTTAAAGGCAAGTCAATAGAGTTTATAGACTAACAAGTGGAAAAAAAATCTGTCTCTTGTTTCAAGATATCAATGAAAAGTTTCCAGATCGAAATAACATCTGCTGCAATGACGATGCCTGATATGCTACGATATAATAGAAAGTCGTACGCAACATTGAACCTGGTGTTATTACCGCGATAATTACACACTTTTTGTTGGATGGAAGGGGAATAAATATGCGCGAAGAACAATTCTTTTTTTTCCGTTTTAAATATTCACTATATAGGTGTGAGATTATTAGATCTTATATATGGTGTGTGCATTATGTACGTTCCTTTTGTACGCATGTGTTAGGTGTACGCACTGGTATGCAGGTATGTGTATGTGTATATGTATATGTCAAAGTAAAAGTGCTAATTCAGTAAATGTATACATTTACTAAATTTTACCCTTTTACTATACATATATACGTAACATATATACATATCTAAGCTATGTCGAACACAGCCTTCTCTAGATGCAGCATTAAGATCCAACAGCTTTTTCTTCATATTCTTTCTCGTGTAATTTGCTGTGGAATATTGAATAGGAAACGTCGAGTTAATTTATCTACGGTAGACGTGTGCAAGTCGAATGAATTTTCGTTCGGTCGATAAAAAATAAACGTTTCGTTTGAAAAATTATAATTATCAAGGAAGACTATGTTGACATTAAAGAATAATTACATCGATAAATCAAGGAATTAAGTCGTATAAAATTTGTTGATAAATTGAAAATAAAAATTTGTACATACCTAGTTTGTAATAATTATCATTTATAATTTCGTTTGCGACCTGCGTAGACTTGGGTTGCAACTTTTTTACCTTTGACCCCGCAAACTCTAGCTACAGCTCTGTACATAAATATATGTTAAATTAAACACTTACAAATAAGTGAACTGTTTGAAACTATGGTGGACATCAACAATAACATAAGTGAGCAACAATTAGGCTTTCGATTAAGATCACCGATCACGTAGAGTTCCGATTTTATCGATTGTGCATTCGTTTGTTTCTCCTATAGCGGCGTTTGCGTCGCGTTCTCAAGAACAACCCTTTGTACATACAATTATTTTCTCTTCACCCCGTTATCGAGAAATTTTTATATTTCTTAAACTTTGACAATAAAACCAAGCTATATAATATAATTGAATTAAACCTTGTTATCTATACTCTTTTGTACAAGAAATAATTTATGTAACTTTAAATTATCTTGCTTGCAGATAATTTAAATAAATAATAAAAAAGATTTACATTACATATCATTTTAATTACCGTTTAAGAAAAACGTTAAAAACGTGGAACCTATGTTTCAAAATAATTAAATTGTAACTATCTCGTTTTTCAACATTTAAATACAGCTGGTTTAAACTGTAATAGATTGCCGATATATGTATGTATACATGTATTATTTATATAAGTTGGTTTTTCTCAGTAAGATACGTATTTACAAAAAAAGTGTAGCAAAGTATGCTCGTTATAACATATGAAGTATAATATCACTGGAGCCATTAAACTTTAACTTGTAGAGAATTATTTAAATCCATTTCGTACGTGCGCGATCGTTATATTTCACTATGATATCTACGTTTTAACGCTTTTGTAAATTGGTTTGATATCTGAGTCAACAACTTCGCGATTCTACGTGTATGTACGTGTTTTTTTCTTATCCTTTCTTCTAACTACAGGATCCTCAGTACAATTTCATGCGTGTATGGGTATACGGTCCGGTAATGTCGGCGATATATTTTCAACCCTTTATTTGTCGTCCGTGAATTCTTAATTTCTATAATATTTCAGGATCCGTGGAAACGAGGGAGCAGAGCCTGAATTTTTCACTGCAGCGTTATCCATAGGAAAGGTCTCATCCCTATTCTATAAGGTTGTCAGGATGATGAGGGTGGCTTTGTAAGAATGGAACGGCGAAGATGATATTGTAAAGATAAGATGGCGAGGATGGCTTTATAATCTCGGTCCAAGCATCGTAAGAGTGAATATGAGACTTCTGCGTCCATTTTAAATAAAGGGTTAATATCTTGCTCTGCTGTTTGGTGGTATACTCTTGGTTTAAATGGTCCGATAGTTATTGCGATATTACATGTACACCGTGAACTCCAAATGTGTGTTTTACCCTTTTGAATCCGGTGAATGTCGATTTTGCGTTTCTCTTCTCTTCTTGTCACGAGAATATACACACGCGACTGCACTTGATTTTGCAACGTCCAATGGGATTTAACGCGGACGTACTCTATTTAACTTTGGTCCTTTGCGAATTCACGTGCTCGTTCGGTTAGCCGAGCTCGCTGCCGAGGCATTTTCGACTCAACTATTGCGAAACTTTCTAATTGCCAATCCAGTTCGCGATAGTCTCTAATTGTATCGAGTTCCTTAGACTTTCCTTGATCAATCGTATTCCCGGATATATATACCTGCCATCATTTATTTCCTATCCAATTTCACTTTCGATTCGATGCTCATCGAATTGATTTCTTCGATCTACAATGAAAAATGAGTGAATTTTCTTCCGTTAACGTTTTTCTCTTTTGCGCCGCGTGCTGGAACCTTTGTGCAGCTCAAAATAATTAGAACAGCCTTACGTATCGATGGATTTCACGCTGGTTAAATATTAAATACAGGGTGTTCCATTTTCAAACGCATTGAAATTATCAGCGAAAAGATAAGACAATATTCAAAGTTTTTTCTCTAATAGTTGAAGTAGTCTAAAATGTTTACCGATTATTTTGAGCAGCTCGGGTTTCTGGTTCCTGAAACTTCCTGTCAGTAATAGCGCAATAACATCCGCTAAGTTGGAACAGCAGTTGCCGTACTTCTTATGTTCTAATCGCAAGCCCCTCGGTTTTTAGCGAAGCATCGTTTATACCTGGAAGTTTTATCTACATATATTTGCCGAACGAGAATTATTCTTATTTACATACAGACTGTAAAAAGAAAGTCCCTCGTGTACGGGACCAGTAATGTGCTCTGACAAAATTAAAAGAAAAAGAGAAGAAATGGAAAAAATTTGAGCTATCAGTTGAATAGTACTTATATTCCATAGAAAAAATTAGGAACCACAGACCTAACTCTTAAATTAAGGCTACGCGTTATCGTACGAGACTAGAATGCACATTCGTTGATAAATAAAGAAATGGATTCGATAAAGAAACGACTAAACAAGAATCATTTGGTCAAGCGCTTAGACGAATGATATAAATATCTATTCTATTTAGTGTCCCCTATCTGATGAATTTACCGTTGTTTACCGATCTGTGCGTTTACGTCGGAAACGTTTTTATGTTACATATTTACATTTCTCTGTCATTCTTAGATATTTGGTACACAGTAAACGATATCGTTTGCAACTCATTGCCAGTAGAATTCATCGATAAGATTTTATCATAGAGATCTTGTATACTTTGCGAGACAGAATGTTCCTTTCAGTTTTTGCAGATTGTCAGTTACATGCGAGACGAGTATATTATGTATAAAGCTGATAGGCTCGAAATAATAATCGAGAGCAATGATTATAGCCACTCAAAGTCATCTCTTTGCTACATCTAACGTCGAAAGCTCCTTCGATTTTTCTCCCCCCCCCCCCCCGTATACGCATCACAGGCATAAGTAAATTCGTCTTTCTATCGCTACTTATTGTACTCTTTCTCTCTCTTTTCTATATTTAATCTCTCACTTTTCGTCTACTTACAGCGAGATCAAAGTTTACCGACCCCTGAGTGGCCAAAATCGTTCACTTCAACCGACAAATCATTTGAATTCCTGTCGACCCACTTGCTCGAACTTGACTAGAAATCCTCAATAGGGCAGCAGCCGCTTTCGACGTTAACGCAAGAATACCAGAAACCGGAACGAGTATAAGAATTGCATCAATGTATTCCACCGAGTACGCGTCGAGCATTTAATTATAGCAGCACAGAAATCTGCTTTAGGTGAACCGAAAGGAGGAACATTCGGAATAGCGCAAAGTACACTGTGCTGTTCAGCTGGCGAACCAACTCGATAATTCCCTGCCATAGTGTACCCTACTTTCGCTTGGTGAATCATCGAGCGGGTACCGTACCTTCTCTTTGGATCTACCTGGTTGCACGGTTGCGTTGAAGACGCAAAGATTCACGAGCATAGGCCTCGAGTCATATAGTCCAGACCTGCACCTTCTCCGCGACGATGCACCAGCTCGCGTGGTCGTAGTAGGACGAGATAATGTGCAAGTTCTCCACGTATTTGTTGATCAGTTGGTCCAGCTCGCCCTCCCTGAACACGTGATAGTACTGATGGTAAGTGATCGCGCCGCCTCCACGGTCCGACGTTAACGATTCCTGGGACGACGAGGCACTCAGTGAGTGGTTGCTGGCCGTCGTGGTCACCAGACAGTCGGTGCTGCGTTTGCTATCGTCGGGATACCTCGATGGCGTCTCCTCGGACGCTGACCTTCTCTGGATCTGGAGCCTACGTTTCTCCGCGTACGACTTGGGGTACTCTGTGGTGTTGTTGGACAGCAAGGACACCATGCTGCTACAAAGTCTTCCGGTCGACTCCGCTTGGCTGCTGAAGCTGATGGACTCGCCCATATCGCTGGACTCCATCGAGTTGGCGGATCTCAAGTACGGCTTTTCCGATGGAGGCTTCTCCAAGGCGGCGTTCACTTTCTCGTTCATGAACTCACCGCTTTTGGAGACCATCACAAAGTCCATCGCGTCGTCCGATGGACTTCGTTGCATCTTGTTCCCCATTGGATTCTCCACGTCCAACGATTCCATGGGTTTGTCAGGGTGCTCGTGGAAGCCGTTGTTGGTGTTACTCAACCAGGCGATTGTATCCGATAAATCGTTGTACTTTGTGTGTTTGGTAGGCTTAAATGATCTGCTGGATTTCGACAGAGATTCGTCCTTCGTCTTTGAAACGAAGGGATCAGAGATTTTTTGGTCGGTTCGGTCGTGCATTAAATTCTCACCGAGGTTTTCTGTGAAATTAATCAGGTGCTTGCGGAATTCCTCGTTCCACGTAGTGTCCATTTCTGGTAACTGGATGCTGGATTTTGCTGTGGCTTTAACGTCACCTGACGTAGAAGTTTGAACCGGTTCTTGTGCGATTTGTCCCGAGTGTTGCTTACTGTGCGTTTTCTGAATAGCTGTTTCCACTGCATCCTCCAAGGAGTTTGCTACGTTTGCTGCAGCGGCTAGAAGCTTCGAAGAAGCCTCTACTGTTGTTTTCATTTTATTAGAATTTCCTAATTTTTCGTTATCCTTTCTAACGCTATACCTTCCGTCTGGAATGACAGTGCTGGTTAAAGCTGCGGATTCTGACGAAGAAACTCCACTGGAATCACTATGAAAATCGTCGGTACGCTTGTCAGATTCTCTTATAGAAACTAACGGGTTCCTTTGGCCAATTTTATCCTCGTCAAACTCACATTTTTTATAATACTGATCGTGTTTCAGATTTTCGCTAAGGTTCTCGGTGAAGTCTATCAGGTGCTTGTGGAGTTCTTCGTTCCAAGTCGCATTCACTTCCGGCATTTGAATACTAGACTTTATCTTACTCTCACTAGAGGCGTCAACATTCTCCAAGGATCCAACCACGATTGAGCTATCAGGAATCCTCGAAGAATGGGACGAAGAGCTATCCGTCGCAGTTTTCGTCCCATCCTCCTTCGAATCGGCCGCATAACCGGATGATTCGTCAGCGGTCATGTCACTGGGATCGGAGACGTTCTCCGCCGAACTGTCCAGCACCTCTGACTCGGTGCATTCCGACTTGTTGTTGTCTTTCTTCGCCATGTACCTCTCGTCCGATATCACACTGATCACAGAACCCACTGACTCCGGGGAAGAGACTCCGCTAGAGTCGCTGTCCAGGTCGTCGGTTTCGGGATTAAACAGCTCCAGCGAGAGTAAGCGTGGCAAAACTTTGGTAACAGCTTCCAGGCGACCGCTAGCTGTCGTGGAAGCTCGTCTGACCAAAGGAAAGGATGGTTTGGTCCTGGTGGCGAAGCCTGGCTTCTGCTTCAGCAGCTCCTTGATCTGATTCAACCTAGCCTTACGATTCTCCTCCTCTTTGCCGACCTCGTAGCTGCTCTTCTCTTGTACCGATACGTCAGGGCTCTCCTCGGTGCTAGGTAAAAGCGGCGCGGTGTCTTTCACGGTCTGAGCTTCTTCGACAACTTCCACAGTTTCGGTCATTGATCTATACGCCCGTATAGCTTGCAAGGTGGGTTTCTTCGTTTCGAAAAAGCTGTTTCTTCTACAGACACCATTCTCGACGTTCCTTTTGTTCAGCTGCAGTTCTGAATCAGCTGATTCGTGAGCACCATTCGAAACGTCTATTCTCTTCGTGGCATTTGTTTTATCCCCAGCTACAGGTTGCTGACCGATGACGCTGGTGGTGCCGAAAAAGGGTCTGGTGAACACAGGATTCAACGAACGTGGAGACAAACCTGGCGGACTAGGCGGTGGCAGAGACTTGCTGGTCGCTGGGAACTGCTTAAGCAAAGGAGACATGGAGATGAGTTTTAGCCTGGAATTGTGCGAGTCAGGCGGATATTTGACTCGCGGCGAAGGCGGTGCTGAAGTGCTACCCAATTGATGACCCGTAGAGGTTGGTATAATGTCTATCGTTGATTGGGCGTCCGGCTTTGGCACGTAGATCACGGACGCGAAACTGTCCTCGGAGTCGACGCTCGTGTCGCTCTGCAGACTGCTGTCCTTCGACGAGTCCGAACCATCCTCGCGAGACAGCCGCCTCTCCACACCTTCCACCTCTCTCTTCGTGGTCGTCACCGGTGGAATCTTCTCGTTAACCTTTGTTCGTGAAGTCTCATCGTTCGGTGTACCGTTATTAGACGCCGGCGGTACGTCGCTTTCAGTGGACTTCCATCCTTGGAGGATTTTCACGAATCCATTCTTGATGGATATACCCGAGACCTCGATATTCGTGGTCGACTGTCTGATCTTGTTCGTAAGGCCACTTTTTAACAGTTGAAACCTTTTAGTCGCGTTGCCGGAGTAGAGGGAGTCTCTGAAGGATTCGAACGTTGTACCCTTGCAGATGATGTCCTCGTTCAGGGACGCCTGTTTCATTATGTTTCGTCGGACTCTCTCCTTTTCCTCCAGCCTCTCCGCGGACATTATCTCCTCGTTCATCGAGCTCTGCTTCAGGATGTTTCCTCGCTTTGAATAACGAGTCGGTGTTACCTGAAAGTCTGGAACGTCCTTAGTTAGTTCTTGAATGGCAGTGTTGTCAGGATTTTCCAAACTGACGTCGTCCACCAGGTGAGACTTCTGCTTGACCAGCCGTGGCTTCGAGCCGCTTATCGACGACGACGACGTCCTAGATTCGCCGTCCAAATTTAATTCGGACGTCAGCATGGAACAGAGGCCGGGTATGCTGGATCTGGATCGCACCAGGTCTAGTCGTTGAATCTCTAGGATATCGCCGAGGCTCTTCGACTTGATACTTAGAGAATCTGACTGTTTATTCAGGGTCACATTGACGTCTTCCACGCAACGCAACTCGATCGGTAACTCGTCCGCGTCCGGAGGCTCCTCCTGTTCGTAATATTTTCGATTCTTTCCGCTGCCACTTTGCCAACTTTCGAGGAACCAAGGACGATTTCCAGAGCCTCGTCTGCCTCCTGCTAATTTCTGCGATGGATTAAAATGTTTAATAATTAAATTTCATTTCCTAGAGTAAACGCGACGGGTCCTCGGTACTCTACCTGCAAGGCTCGACGGAAGAAGCTATAGCAGGTCTCGTTAGGACTCGACAGACTGCTGGTAGATGGTGATGGACTAAATATCGGATCGATCCAATAGCCCTTGCTCTTGCTTTTTGGTTGGCTGTTCCTGAAACAAGAATACCATTAACTGTAATTATCAAAGCCATCTAGAGGCCAAAGAAGATTGAAACAGGGACAAGGAGAGACGAGTTAAATGCAATTTTCCGTCGCTTTAATGTACTTTCAATATCATGATAGTAACAAGTTTTTATACGATTATAGAAATGTGTTAATACCCTTTTAACATACCTTTTGGAAGATGACAAAAATTTCTGACTGTTCTGATTGAAACTGGCGTTTTTGGGTGCACCTGAACGTTTTGATTTTTCTGGTGTCGAGTTCATGCAATATGCTTTCGGCCATGGTATCAATACATCTTGAGATTCGAACTGAAAATAAAAATTACTGTATGTAAGAAAAAAAAGTTCATCTAATCGTCACTGAAATAAATCTCTTTAAACATTTCAAGAATCTATATATGTACAGCTGCAACCGTGTAAACAAAGAGCTTCGATTGGAAAAATAAATGAGATCACAAACGACCGATTCGAACGGTTTACCTTGGCTATGTGCATTGGAACAATCGTATCGATTGACCGTCATGCTCGCGTGGGTGTATTTCATAGGCATGTTCGAACTGAATGCAATCCTATCGGATGACGATATTTTTAAACTGAATTAAATTGCTTACATTTATCTCTACACATACGTTAGGTAACTGGTACCGAAAAAAACTGATGAAACGATACCTGAATACTTGATAAATTCCATAACAGAGATTGCTTTCTCTTGACTACTCGATATCTATTTTAATGTTGTAATACGCTTCTTATGGAAATTCAAGCGTCACCCTCGCATGGGTGAAGATTTAGTTACCGGCAGTCTTGCTAATTTGATCCTAATACGAAAGCGGGACCATAGTGGATGCCTTGTTTACCTTCCTGTGCCTTTGTTCCATAGCCCATACTGATATCACTAAGCGACCACCGATCCGCAGTACACGAGCAAGTTCTCTGAGCGCGTGGACCCTTCTCTCTGTTGTGGCAAAGTGGTGTACCACCGCTATTGAAAGGACCGCGTCGAAACTCTCATCCCGAAATGGTAACGCTAAATTGTCGCAAATTAGTACCTGTAATTAAGAAATAACACAGTGATTAGAAAATCGATACCTCACGTATCTAACGACGATACGAGCTGTTTTTTAACGCAATTACACGGCACGGTTGATCGGAAAAACGTTTCCCGTAGGAAACGTTCCGGATACAATTAAGCACGGTACAGCAGGATACGGATGTAAGAGTCGGTTTCCTGCGCGCAAGCCACTGTCTTTCATTTGTATTTTCATGAAAATGATATATTCACCTCATTCTCCTTCTCACGCGCGATATCCGTGAAACGCTTGCAACGGTCCACTCCCACCTTGAAGATGCTGTGATTAACGCTCAGGTACTTCCCGTTGCCACAACCTGAACAAATCGATCTGTCATTTTTATTTGAAAAAAAAAAATAATGATTTCTATTCTTCTCCGAATAACTTGATTTTATTACCCGAGTTTTCATTTACGGAACACGAATTGAAATCCGATTTCTCTCGTATACTTAACATGGGTATCGGTTTCTGTGACCATTCCTCAAGTACACCAACGATCTCTAATTTTATTCTACACTCGCAATGACCAATGCGATCGGGTTGCAAAGAATGGTCAAAATTGATAATCTAGATTTTCGATTAAAAAGTCAGAAAAATCCCGATCAAGTCGCTCTCAAAGTTCGCTGCTTGTCGATGAGTTTGTGCAATCCAAGGAGAACGGATCCCACGGTATTTCAGAGGCTGCGAGACGTGGGATTAGGCACACGCGTGTGTCTACACACAGCCATCCAGATGTGTGTACGTAATCAGCACAGATTCGCGTGCAGATAGATCCACAGAGAGGTCAATTGATCATGTGAAAGCGTGAGTGACCGGGACGCTGTGAGACGAAGAAAAACCGAGGAAAGGAATGAATAAAGACAAGAACCCATAAATGAACTGGTGTACTTATGTGTACAAGGTAGATGGTTGCGTTCGATAGAGGCGTGGCATATAGGGTAAGATTGAAAAATCAAAGGATCGTCTATGCGCGTTACGTCGTTCAAGTAAAACCTTAGTTATTTTGATTATAATTATTATTCAGGAATTCTGTCTCACCCGGTAGATTACAAATAGGAAGCAAGGTGAAAGAATCTTATTTGAATGTCGCTGACGGTCGATTTAAATTCCATCAAGTTACTCCGGAACAAATTAAATGGAAACATCAGAAAACTTTCACCAATGTCGATTTGTTTATTGATTGGAAAAGTTGCATAAAGTTGAACGTCGCGTGGTATTTACGAGAGTAAGATAAAAATCATTTTTACCTACCAATGTCACAGACGAGGGCACCAGGTTCGAGTTCCTCGAGAAACTGATAGATCCGTGGCCAGTGTTTGCTCTGTACAGTCTTCTCGGCGCATTGTTCGTAAACCTCATGGACGTAGGCTTGCTCAAGGGCCACCGATCGAGCTACTTGCTCTACGTCGCTCTCAGACATCCCTCTCGTTGAGATGGTTTACCCTCATCCACACGCGTGTCAGCGATACTGAAATATTTTTCTATATCATAACAGGAAACTAATTAACATTTTCCTATGTGGTCAGTGACTTGTAATGTTTATTCGGAATAATTCTTTATTTAACACTTTAATCGGATTAAATATATAGTTAGACGTGTTAAATTAAGAAATTTAAGGGGAAGCAGACGAGGTGACGTTTACTTTTCTTTGGTCATCCATCGACTGATATTCCATAATAGGCTGTCGACCATGGATTCCGGTTCTGAGGTTACCAGTTTCAATACTTTCTCGTCACTTTCATTTGCGGAACGCTTCTACCTATCTACTGTGTTATAACGCACGTACGGGAACCATCGATGACCAACGTCTCCATAATCGAACAGTTAATAGCCAGTCATTCTGATTCACGTTATAATATTTCCAATAATTATAAAATAAAAATTGTATTTCAAATTCAAGGAAATTTGAAAAATTCCAAAGAAAAATGTTAAAAAGCTTCGGCGAACCGTGTTGGAATCCACAGGTAGCACGTTTGCCCTAATTAATCCGGCCGCCCTACATTCAAATAAATTGTGTATCGACGATGAGATTATCGTGGTCAGCTGTTGTAAACAATGGATTTCATACTTCGGAAAAAGGATACTTTTTGTTATAAGAATAACAATTTATGAAACACGGTTTACTCGCAGCAAAAGGAGAAAACGTTTATTGCCCTGTAAACGGAGGACGATTCGTTCTTCTATGAAATCTAACCAGAGAGTGAAAAAAAATTGCAACTTTCTAATAGCGGTTTTCAAAGAATACAATTTTCTGGCTCGTTTAAATGGCGTAATTTCAACAAAATCCAGAAATAACAGAGCGGAATGAGTAGACAATCTTAAATCGATTCGGTGACAATTTATTTTCAGTAAATAACACAAGTGCTATTTTGCAATATTTTTACATCATCGAATTCTAATAGATACGTTTCGAAATCGATCATTTGTTATGCAACAATCTGGTATCAAGTTCTGACGCCCATCCCTGAATCCGTCGACACAAACAGGTCGAGTGGACCTCTCTGTTAACGAAAGAAGACATCCACTCGACCATCGCCAGACGAAGAGGACACGCGAGAAACGATCGTGAAAGAATAACACTTGGAATGCGAATGGAAAGAAGAATCCACAGGTAGATCGAGGAGTCTCCTAGTAAACAAATAAGTAAGGATGAATTTGATGCTTAAATTGCGAGAAATTCGACTGAAAGACACTTACATAAATAAACGTTCAACGTCGCTAAGTCCTGGTAGACCATCTTGATCGTCATTCATAAACTGATATCGCTGGGAGGCAAGCAACCACAATTGAATAATTCCTGAATAAGTCGAAGGATCAATTTATCCACCCGTTGCTTCTCTTTCCCTTTTAAATCGTTGTAGCCGTTTCTGTAACGGAGATGGGGCACCGTGTACGCCCGGCACCAACGAAGAAATTCACCCGTGTCCTCGGTGCGAATAAACGTGACGATCGCCCACAACGTGCACAGGTTCCTCGACTTACGTCTGTTCTGAAGGTACAGCTGGCAGATGTCCAGGAACGTCATCAGGTCGATGACGTTCTTCCCCATCGATGATACGAAAGAGGTTCGGATTCAGAATAATTTAGACGAGGAACAGTGGTGACGAGCAATCGGTAAGAAATTTACCGAGAGAACCACCTGGAGATTCTTGTTGTTGGAGGATTTGGTTCGGATTCAGGTCTGTTTTGATTTTGTTCAAAGTTCTTTGTTTACATGGTTCAATATTTATTCTTGGAGCATTGATTCTTGACAAAGCTGATGATGATTCTCTTGTTGAAGAATATCAATGCTGTCTCGTCGTGAAATTGGTATACTTTAGCGAGTGTTTATGAAGCTGGTCGAAGATCAAGCCGTGGAACCGTGAAGAACATCACTGGTCTCGATTCGTGGTGTCGCACCACCACCACTACCGCAACCACCACCACCACCCTCTTATTCCGTGTGCAGACGGCCACCGATAGAGGCGGCGGTAGCAGGTGGACCACCGAGTGCCTTCAAAGAGAACATCGAAGCCTGGGTTTCCCTTCTCCCTTCTCGACTTGTTACCCTCTCTCGCAACGTATCTTCTCTGTTACTCGATCTGTTTCTATACACCCCCCTTTACGCTCTCGTCCTTGCTACTATGTAACTTATCCTATTCCTTGCTTGATCCATAAGTTTTAATTATACATGTGTCATATTTCACCCTGGAAGTTGTATACCGTGGTGAAGATAATAGGATTCCCTAAGGGTGTAGGAAAAGAAGATCCCTTATAGTTTCACTGCCCCCACCATTTGCTATTAAAGTATTAAATTGTTCTATTGTTTCCTAGATTTCAACTATGATTCAACTCTTCGATGATTCTTCTTCCTCCGTTTTAATCTACGAACCAAACAACCCTCTTCTATGTCATTCTCAGCCCTGCTCCTTCAAAACTGTCTCTATGTTTCTCGATTTTCCTGTCGCCCTTGTCTCTGGTTACGTCTATCCAGCTCGCCGCTGTACCACGCTTCCTCTTCCGCTTCCCTTCCCTATCTTTTTCTCTCACCCTATCTGACTGTTGTCTTTGAAACGGTAACGCTACCACGTTCCCACCCACGCGTGTACACGCGCGTACTGACGCCACCAATACGCGGCTGCGCGTTGAATTTATTCGATATCCTCTTTCGCATAACTGGGTTAATTTTGGTGCGCTAGTTTAACTAATTTAAGGACGCGATACCTGGACTCTAACGTCACATCCTGTCGTCCGTTCTTCCAGGTGTCTTCATTTCGTGGAACCGTACGAAGAGAAATTTCAGAGAAAGAGAATGTTGGATTATCTGGCAATAATCTAGTTAGAAAAATTAATCGAGTGTGCTTGTTTGCTTTAACTGTTCTCAGAGTTCTTACATTAGTAAAAGCCTGAATAATAAAATTTCGGGCACTTCTATTTTTAGTTTTTCTTAAATCGACCCAATAGGGGCTTTTCGCCCATGGCTTTCACTTCCTTTTCACTTTAGCGTTAGCTTTCGAACCATTCGGACATCATCCAAGGTTTTTCGAAAAATAAAATTCATTGACTGTTATTATTTAAATTAATACCAACTGCCATTTTCAAGTTAAATGATACATTTCCATACAAAGATGTAATTGTTTCACAGCATCGACGGCTATTATTGCCAGAGAGAAGCTGCTCGAACAGAATTCACAGCTGTTAGTTAGAAGTGACAGTGAAAGTGTCGAAGAGAAAGGAGATGATTGAAACGAGATAGCATGTTAAACGTTTAAGGCACGCGCCAAGTTGAATAGTGATTTCAAGTACAAAGCTTTGCGCGTGTCGCAAATATTTTGCATTTCATCGTTCGACCGTGGAAAATATTCAGAAAAATTCAAAACTTCTTTTAATAGAACTAAAATTGTTAATATTATTGTAAATTATGTACATACATTAATATTTAGTTTGAAATCTGCCATCCCAAAGGTGAGTAACCATATCAACATCTCATTTTAATTTTTAGTTTATTCTACAATGTAAAGACGTTTTCCAGAACTATTTTGAATCGAACAGTGTCACCTTTCATGCGATAAATTTATATCGAATCCTTTTTTCTCCATTTTCTATAGACGTCCTTCGCAGATCGAGCCCCAGTTTCAACGTAATAGACGCTTCTCCCCATTAACTTGGAAATTTAACCCAATTAGAATTTATGCAACAACGCGATTGCTTTTGTCCCTCCTTCTTCTTTCTTTAGTCACAGCGTCCCGTTTGTCAACTTCTTAGTTAATGCTCCGACGATCCGATAACGATCTTAACAACTTTTTCATCTACATTATTCGATAAATTATTTTCGAGCAATTTCTTGTTTCGATTGAACGGTTGATCGAACAGTTTGCTTGATTGATTAATCATTTACTGGCTAAATCACTGGCTACCCAATCTAAATCTGTTTTTTTTTTTATTTTGAATAGTCAACTCGAGGTAATCACCGCATTCCACTGAACAATGCGTATATTAATTAGCGGGATCTCGTGAAAAGCGAAGAAATCTTGGGTGAAAGTAGCGTTAATTCTCGCGGCTCTTGCGTTGCTCCTCGATCAGTCGAGGACAAGTTTGCTCTGAAAAAAGTTCTTTCGTTACGTAATTTTCTGTTCTCGATCACCTTCGATTCACGAAATTCAACTTCTCTCAAGATCATTCACTTTCATTCACTCTCCTTCGATTCATGCGTCGAATTTTATATTCGCGCGCAAAAAAAATGAATTCTCAAATAAATCCTTCTTGCCCGATCTATCGGATAGACAAGACCGACACTGAAAGTAACGAGAACGGTCGATGAGGATCGTCTCGAAAGAATCGCCAGACGAGAATGAACTTTCGCTCGTAACAATGGCCACCAAAGTGTATCGCGAGATGGAATAATAATTGCTGCGAAACGCGGTGAATGCAAACAGCTCGAGCCGATTCGGATTGCTTGCTCTAGAAACCTGAACGAACGGTAAACAGCAGCGAATCTACGATGCTGATACTTCTTTATTAGTACTCGATAAACAACTCGGTACCTTTTGCACAGGATATAAAAGTCATTATCGTGTAATCTCTGGAACATCAGCTAGGGAAAAATAAATAACAATGATCGTTTTCAATTTCGAACGGTTCCAGGCGCGACCCACATTCCTTTCGAAGTGCAAGGACACGAACAAATGGGTCACTAAAGACCCACGCAGATATTGCCTTTCCTTAACGGATATCATTACCATTAGACTTGTGATTTCAAGCATAAATATTACACGATTTTTATCTTTTACGACTGTGTTAGATATCTTCCATGCTTTTGAAGAGAAACGAAGAATAAAAATTTGAGCAATCGTAAACCTGGGTCACCGTTGACCCGGCCATCGTAAAGGGTTAAACTGTTACACGTAATCACGATAGTATCAAGAATTACCACACGGTTCGAAAGTTTCTGAAAGCAAGTTTCATTCTCGTTCTCGTCTTTATACTTAACCGTGTCGTGCCTCGGGCATCAAAAACGAACTCGAAAAATTCTTTCAACCGCGAAAACAACGACCGCACGTGAGTAGGATGGCGAAATATACGAGCTGGACGACTGATTGTATTAATAAACCTCGAGGAATGAAACGCGAAAAACACGTAACGAAGGACAACGACGATATTTCTAAAAAGGATCCAGCACACCAATCGTGGGAATTGAAAAAATGGTCTGCAAGTGACCTTTTTTTCACTTCTTCTTCTCACGAATCGCGATCTTGACATTCTCCAGACGTTGTAAATCGTCCTCGTGGTTAAAAAGTCACTGGAGGCTTCAAAGTAAACCATTCGAGGTCAGGACAACCTTGTTGTAACAAAACTTGTTTTTCTTTCGTCTGATTTTTTCAAGGAAATTTTACATTTTGACTCACCTTCCATTGTCTCATCCTCAATCTCCAGCATTTCAGGGACACCAAAACAAGGTCGTGCAAGGTCATTAGACCAAATAATCCATTTTCTTTTCTTTTAAACTGGTACATGAAAATTATCACGATTCCTCTGACGCCATTCGACTCGCGTCCAAGAATAGTTCGCTCTCTAAAAACTGCTGCTTTCATTGTCGGAAAAGAATGTCCTCGGCCTATATACTATAGTTTAACGCTAGATTGCCGGACAAATAGATTTTTCGAACTAAGGAGCGGGGCAGGGAAGGAATTAGTATTTGTATACATTTCATTAAAAAAGAATTATTTAAGTTTTTCTATATACATAGCAATAAAATCGTAAATGAGTCAAATTGACTTGCGCTAACGACGCGCTACCGCGTAATCAATCCTCGATACTTGATGTTAGTTAACCAATGAATAACGATCGAACTCGTTCGGATGTAACCGATCCTCGAATAATCATAGTTCCGCTGTAACAGTATGTGCTTTCACGTCGTTCGTGACATTATTCATAGCACTCGGGAATCGATCAGTGACGCACGAAATTTGTCGCTTTCCTTCACCTGCAGCAGGAAATTATTCGTGCTCGGGGTTAGAAACGGTAAGGGAAAAGTTGTTCGTGGCTAGCGTTCGACTAAAATCGTCACGCGATAATCTCGTGATAATCTGAAGGTATAAAAAAAAAAAGAAAAAAAAATAATTCACGTGTCGATGCAATTGCATTAATTGGCGACCAGGTAACCTTGATCCTCACGGTTCGTTCTTTCTGTCTCTCCGCAATGCCAGCGAAATCACGCGATTTTATGTAAAATGGAAAAATAACACCGACCTTCGGCTCTGCTCGAAAGTCAACCACTTGTAAATGAGCCACCTCTGCACGATCTAACAATATATGTATCATTTTCGAACTGACGATGATAAAAATTTATTGGCTACTTTGTTACGTTCTTGCCGATACGTTAACCTTTTGTCGAGGAAATGTTCTAAAATTCTAGTTGGAGTAACGATCGGTAGAACACGACCGTTCATGATCGGTCGCGTTGAAAGTACCCTGACTACCTAAAGGTCAGTCCTCCTTACTTACAATGGATATCTTCTACTAGAAGAGATTAGTCACCAAAATTGCTCCTCTTTGCAATTGAGAAAAAATTTCTCTGTACACTTTCGTAGGGTAAATGAGGATAAGTTAGTTTGCGGTGGTTTGCGACCTGGATGAAAATCAGTAGATACCAAAGGATACCGCGTTTTATTGTGTATCGAGTTGTACCAGTGTCACCACTTCCGTCTTTCGATACTTTCTATTGTATCATTCCTGTCCCGTGGTTTCCTTCGCAGCCTGGGAATGGCTCAAACGATCCACGTCGTGATTTCGTTCCACTCTCGAATTAACTACGATAGATTAGACGTATAATTTCGACAAGGAAAATAAAGGTAAAGACTTGAAACGGTCAATTATGACGTTTCGAGGATCCTCGATAAATTTGTTATTTAATTGTAGATTAAATCTCTTATTTGAAACATCCTGTACGTAACGTTCATCATTTTTGTACGTTTGTAGAAAAAACTTGTTTTCGACGATAATTAAAAATCTATATTCAGGAACGTCGCTTCAAGAGTCTGTTTTCGATTGTGGAAATCCAATATTTTTCTTTCCACTTTAAGATCCCGCAGACGCGAAAAAACAATGTTCGATGAGACTTTCGAAAGAAATTCTTGAGCAACAAAATGAAAATTTTAAAGAAGAACAGGGGTGTTTACGGGGCCGTTTGTTCCGCGTGGAATATTCTAAAAATAGGAAGAGAAATCGCTGGTGGATAAGGTGTCGGAGAAAGAATGACCAGGGTGGTAATCCGATGACGAGGAAACAGGGATGAAGAAGGGTCAGGGAAACGGTTGATAGGGGGTGGGAGAGACGGGGGTTGAAACAGCCAGGAACGTTACAGGCGATTGAAATACCCGAGTGCGGGGGTGGAAAAGGGCGTCAGCAGTGACGTAGACGATAGCAGAGTGGGGGTATCATTGCGATATGGTGTACGATAGTAACTAGCGATGGCTTTAAACAAATCTTACCCTCTTTTTAACGTGCTCAGTGTTTCCTAGCACTCGACAACTTCTCGAACCACTTTGATAAATCATCCTCGAATTTAAATATCTGATTTAACCTCTGGTAAGAACCTGCAAAAGTTTCAATTGAATACCTGCCACTCGAAAGTTGACCTTATTGGAAGCTACCTGTTGTCATCGTGAATTGTAAAATATGAAGAAAACGATAAATAATGAGAATCTCTGTCGAGCAATGATACGATATCGAATATCAACTAAGGGAAACCCTTCTTAACCCAGTATGCAAATGGAATGTTACAAACGTAATCCATGTCCACAATCTCGGTCAATTATATCTTCGACCAGTATTGACACCGATTCCTTTAAATTGAATCGAGATTTATTATAATACTTGACTGAATTTTAAGAATGAGATTAATTACCTCTATCTACTAGTAACTCAAGGTAATAAGTAGAAAATGAAAAATGAAACAATGCTCAAGGGGTTAAAATAAAAAAATGTAATTTCAACATTTGAAATGATGACGTCATAGGATAAGATAGAAGGAAAACGAATTTGAGAATCACTGCAGCAGAGATAGCCATGCCACTGATGGGTGAAATAGCAGAGGTGGTAGGGGGTGGTAGGGTAAGGGGTTGTTCCCGGTGGTGGTACGCAGAGGCAACGTGCCAGCCATGAGGGGGGGCAGCCATGAATGAAAGTAGCGCGTATCGATTTACCCGCTGCCGCCCTAGATAAAAATATGGTAAATAGTGAGCCAAAATGGGCTACGAACCAACAACGTCATCGTGCATAACGATGCTTTTCTTTTTTTTCCCCTCTCGGACACGCATTCGCATTCCAATTCGATTCCAGTTTGCATTTTAATTAAACGTCCCGCCAATATTGAAAAGAAATTCAAATAGTACCACAGTGTAGTAATACAACCTAACCCGGACCTAGCCCAGTTTACATTTTAATTAAACGTCCCTCCGATATTGAAAAGAAACTTCAAGTTGGCCTAATATCGAAAAAATTCGAACAGTACAAAATGGATAGATTAATTGAAATACCATCGTATCGTAACGTAGCAATAGTCTGATAGAACCGGATCGTGAAAGAAAAAAATTAATTGCAGATTCTGTTGCAAGAATCTTGTTGCATATTCAAAGAGTTATCCATTGATCATGGATTCCTCTAAACGGTCTGTTACCGTTAGTACGTTAAATTCTTGCGTTGGAATACCATGCGTTTATTTCTATTGTTATTGCACGCTTTTACTCTGTAAATCAACAGACGCGGCCGTGTACACGAGGCCAATTTTACTTCTGAATAATTTATACGAATCCGCGTAGTATACAGAAATTATACGTCATACGTATGCAAGTGCATACGCGATAATTTCAAGGGTGGATTCATCAACGATAATAAAAATTTTCATATATCATGGTACACCCTGTACAAACTTTTAACATCTCTTATGTTTTAATATGTATTGTTGGAAAGCGCGTATTCCATCTTACAGAGAATAATTTTACGAATCTTTGCTACGAAAGAATTTCAAATTTTCGTAACGCCTTGCTAACTGGTGAAATGTGGACCTCGATGTTACCCAGATCAATGGAACGATCGCAGCGCTATATGTGTGTCACTATCTAAAATTATTGTCTCAGGGTGCCGCCATTACCCATTCATGGGATTTGTCCTAGCTCCTTGCGCGTCAATGGCACCGAAATCTACCATTCAAAGAAACGCTCGATTCCTTTGCCAAAAGCGTATAACCTGACCACCATTTCAATTCAGCAAAGTATGCGAAAACACACAGTGTCATTGATCTCACGAGACATTTCCTGGTATCTCTTATGCACCATCAGATTGCAGATGCATCCTACTACTATCAACCATCTTTACAATTACCATAAAAAATATCTTTTATTCCAGAAACATCACATAAAACTAATGAAATTTAGGAACAGCATATAATTGCTTAAAATATTTACATCAAATCCGATCGTATGCACGAAACGTCAACGTGACATTTGTTAAAAATCACATTGATTAACGTCAATGTCAAAGATCGGTAACATTTTCGTCAATTCTTTTTCTTTTTTATCGCAAGTACGATGAAATGAAATGCAACATCTATTGAAAATCTGTTGAAAAAAATCATACAATGTTCGCGTACCTGGGTCATGACAGGGGTGGTATCTTCATGTTTCCACGGAGACTCAACACAGCTGGGCGTTAATACGACAATATATCCCGGTGTCTTTGGAGATGAACGATGGTACCGCAATGCTTGGCCAACACTTCCACGCCATAACACGTCAGATATTCACATCTGCTTACTCACATAACATGTCACCGAAGGATTACCGATAAATCGTCGATAAGTGGTTGGCGTTGGACAGACACGCGGCACGAAAAATATGCACGACCGGTGGTGAACACGTTTCCTTTGCCACGTAAAACCGACTGTCCCTCCAGCAGCCCCGCGTTAAACGGTGGCTGCAGGATTGTTGGGGGTTCGGAACAACCGAACGAGAACGAAAAAGGGGTTAAAAAGGGGAAAAGGTGCGACCGTAGCGTGACGAAGACCGAGAACACCAATGGTTCGGTGGTGCGATGTATCGCGGCGCCACCCTCGATCCTCCCTAGCGCAATACGAATTTCAAATTTATAGAAATTGTCTGCCGCATAAAAAACATAATCTATTTCTTCAAGACAAAAAATATCATCGATGAATTGGAGTCTAAATCGCTTGTAGAAATCCATATTAATTAAACTGAATTTAAATTTTATATTACTTTGAAAGTAAATTATAAAAAAGAGACTGAAATCAAAATAACATGTTACTTATGATAGGAATGAAAAGAAATAAATTCTGATGTTAGTCTTCTTGCTCGTATCGTGAGCAAAAATTAAACAAAGCGATAAGGGAATATAAAAATGTTATCTATAGGCCATTAAACGATATCAAATCTTTTAAATATAATCAGTTTACTTTATACATACAAATTTCAAGGTATATATATATATGACGCAAATAAAACACTTGCAAAATACATTTCGCATCGCTATCGTAAGTTCATTGAAACAGGTAAGTGAATTTATCAAACATATGAGTTTAACATGGTTTGAAATCCAGAAAGTAGTTGTATCTCGTATCAGGCAAATATATGTAGATTGATAGATTTTTAAATGTCAAGGAAGAATATAAGTAAAGGACGTTACGTACAGATTATATAGTCTTTCTCTGCGATCTGTAAAACTAATTGCAATTTAAATAAAATTAGAAATCGGTCTTATTGTGTAATACATTTTGTTCAGTCGTAAAGGTATGCCCATTTTTTATACAAATACTAAAATAAAATGTTTAAAATCATATTTTCATTTCAAATTTGACCGGAAATGGTATCGTCAGTCGGTAAGGGAATACCGGAATCCATCCTTCATACGATTGATTTTTTCTTTCGATTAGGTAATCGAAATGAAAGTATGGAAAGTAATGTTACCATAAACCAACAGTGATTAGCGTATAAGTACGCTATTAAAAATAATCATTACCATTTTTTTAATGCTTATTACTTAGCACGAAATATATAAATATGCATTGTATGCGATTTAAAGGAAAATGTTATACACAATTTGAATTTCGTTCGTTTGGTATATGCAATTCCGCTCTCCTCCCACTGGAATCCATGCAACGTGCTATCATTATTCCTCCTATTTGTTTATCATTGGAATGTCAAGTTTATCGTTGCATACGCGTTTTATGACTTAACATTTTTGATTGATGTAAAAGGAACATATGTCAAGCATTTCGAAATTAAGGTACATTTATTTAATTATTATCTTTTCACAAATACTATTGTAGATAAAACGTGGTATATAAATTAATCGTAAATAAATGATATCTCTTTGAAATAAGAAAAAGAATTCCAAAACGCTTAACTCGATACGTCCAGTAATGACGGCTGTTCGAGGTAGCCAAAGACAAAGGGAATTCATGGATAAAATACCCACGATTGTCTTTCGTAGGCGTAATTGTACCGTAATAGTTACAACGGCGATCCACAAGTTACTGTGTGAAACCATTCGTTATGTGTACGAAAGGAAATCAATGCTCACACCACGAACGACAGTGATTGTGTGTAAAAATGAAATGGGGCATTGGGTGAAAGTACTCTTGGCTTGGAGGTCTTATATCAGATCAGTCTGCCAACAGCCGTGCACGATGTGGATGGCAATTTTGCATAGCTCCTAATGACCAGATCCACATCAGACTCCAACAAAGCATACTTTTTTGTTAAATTATCTTAACAAAATTATGCTACCGGAGTCTTAGGATCTCATTTCAATCAGTGTTCAGTGATTTATACAAGTGAATAGTTAAACAAAGAAAAATGCATTTTTGCAGAATGTTGCAGATTATACGGATATGGTGTTTGCTTGTGTCAGTGGTAAATTTGACATTGGCCCTAGAAAATGGTCTTGTGAAAACACCACCGATGGGCTGGCTTGCCTGGGAACGATTTAGATGTAATACAGACTGCAAAAATGATCCTGACAATTGCATCAGGTAAGAATGTTTCTCTTTTCTGTTTCTTTCTTGGTTTTCTAAAACTTTAATATTAAATTAGCATGCTCAGTATTCTATTTAGTATCTTGATTACTGGATCTCTGTATGTGGCAACTTTAAATGGTATCTGATCATAGAAATAATTCTGTATGATATAGTGAAACTTCATTAGCATCTTTGTTATATATCTCTTAAGATTAGTACTGTAAATCTTAGCTGCTGGTACTGTGTAAAAAAGAATGCAAAGAATAATTTGATTGCAGAAGTAGCATCAGTAAATAGTTATGAATTAGAAAGATTAAAGCCTTAACAAATTTTAGAAAGTAATATATGTAAATATATTGGAAAAGCTATCAATATTGCATGAAATATCCTTGCAGACTTAAACTTTATATCTATAAAAATTAAATTTGTTCTCAGAGTAGATATCTTTATCTGTTTATTGCATTATCATTGTTTTAATATTGACTTAGTTGTATAATTATCTACATGAGTTTAACTTAGAAAAGTGAATTGCTATTCAAACATTTGTAAGAATCATCAATGTAATACTTTTGTAAATGAACTTATATTGAAAAATGTGTGGGTAATATGATGAATATGAATGAAGAACATAGCAGTTTGTTTCATAAGATACCAATTAGAAGAAAATTAACACAAGATATGAATCAAGGATACATGACCTCAGAAATGATTCTCTGTAACTTAATTTATAGCTGTGTCATAGCTATTATGCAAATTGATATTCCATTCCAAGGATATATTTTAATAAATCTTTTAAATAAATTTATAATTTGCCTGTAACAAACATAATTAATGAACAAAACTAATTTTTACCCTTTGTAGTGATAGACTCTTTCGTACAATGGCAGACATTATTGTAGCAGAAGGATATTCTGCAGTTGGATATGAATACATTAATGTTGATGATTGTTGGTTGGAAAAAGATAGAGACATCAATGGTCAATTAGTTCCTGACAGACAAAGATTTCCTTATGGCATGAAAAGCCTTGCAAATTATGTAGGTTTTAGTATCTTCCTTAAGTTACTTGCAACCAAGTTACACTCTTATTTTCATGTACTTTTACTATATAGATTCATTCAAAAGGTCTTAAGTTTGGTATTTATGAAGATTTTGGTAATTACACATGTGCTGGTTACCCTGGAATATTGGGACACTTAGAAACTGATGCCCTTACTTTTGCATCTTGGGATGTTGATTACGTGAAATTGGATGGATGTTACTCCCATCCTTCTGAGATGGACAGAGGTACAATTAAAATAGTTTATAACTGCATATCCAACCTGAAATAAATAATATTCAAAAGGCTTCATGTTTAAACATTTTAGGATATCCTGAATTTGGATTCTATTTGAATCAAACTGGCAGACCTATGGTGTATTCTTGTAGTTGGCCAGTTTATCAAGTTTATGCTGGTATGCAGGTTGGTACTACCATAATATCATGTAATAATAAATATTTATATTATTAATTTAATTATAAGATTTTAAATGATATAACATTCTAGCCAAACTATACTGCCATAACAGAACACTGTAATTTGTGGAGAAATTTTGATGACATACAAGATTCATGGAACAGTTTGGAAACCATCATAGATTATTACGGAAACAATCAAGACTCGATTGTACCGAATGCTGGACCCGGTCACTGGAACGATCCAGATATGTTAATCATCGGTAATTTCGGACTTAGCTACGAACAAAGCAAAACACAAATGGCATTATGGGCTATATTAGCAGCCCCTTTATTAATGTCCGTTGATCTACGAACAATTAGACCCGAATACAAAGCTATTTTACAAAATAGAAAAATCATTGCTGTAGATCAAGATCCCTTAGGTATACAGGGTCGACGTATTTACAAAGTTAGTACATTCAGCATCTACTTAGCAAAAAATTCTGTAATATTAAAAAACTTATAATTCACTATAATTTCAGCATAAAGGTATCGAAATCTGGGCAAGACCAATAACTCCCGTCTATCAAAATTATTTCTCTTATGCCATAGCGTTTGTTAATAGAAGAACAGATGGTACACCCTCGGATGTATCTGTTACATTAAAAGAACTTGGATTACAATATCCCGGAGGATACAGTGTAGAGGTATATAATTTACATTCCTTTTTTTTATTCAATGAATTGATGCTTCTAAAAAAACCTATGTATGCTTGTTTCAGGATTTATACGAAGACGTGAATTATGGTGTTTTAACGCCACAAACAAAAATTAAAGTTAAAGTAAATCCATCCGGCGTTGTGATATTGCGATGTGATTTACACTTAGAGGATATTTTTGACAGTAATCAATTTTCACAATATACACCGTCGAATCAGCTGTTTAAAGTCAGACAAAATACGTTTAAATAACGCAGATTAAATATTAAAGAATTTTAATTGTAATTTACCTTTTTGTAATATTTGACAAAACGATGTTACCATACTTTGTTAAGAGAGTAGAAAATAAAGAATTTTGTAACCTACAACCCACAATTAACAGTTTGAGAAACACCAGGCGTACGCGTTATCAAAAATACGTTGCCATGGGGAAG